CTGAGTTATTTGGTCTTTTCCTGTGGCCTGAACTGCATGGAGCAAGCACAAACTGCAAACTAACAACACAGAGGTTGAGTACATCAGTAGATTGGATCAAATGGCATAACTGGTGATATTGTTACAGCTCATGGGTTTTACATTTAAATAGTAGAACTGAGAGAATGGTATAACAAATTCTCAGATGATCCCCAGGAAAATTAGTGCTATTCCCCAAGATGCCTTTTATAAAAAGTCACCCTTGGTGCTTATATACTAAAAATAGTTGTCTGTAATACCATCAGGGAGACTTTTTCAAATACATGGTTGACTGTGTTGTAATTTCTAGAACAGTTTATTCCACAAATAAAGGAAAAACACAAGCTGCAATTTTATTAAGACTTCCATTCATGAAAACAAACCATCTATACATCATGAACATGTGGCTCTAAATTGAAATTAAGAACGTCTCAGTATTACATGCAGAAAACCAGATGAACAGTCACAAAGGAGAGAAAGTGCTAAAGATGAGCTTTTCCGTAATGAAAAGCTTCATTCTAAACTCTTAGAGTGCTATCTTAGTAGAGAAAGCATCAGTAACAACAGCTTTACTCCTTTACATTACTTTTCATTGAAATAAGTAAGCAGTTTAATGTTAAAATAACACGTTGCCCCACTCAGAAGTACCTCAAATTGCAAGAGGTATCATTAATTCGACAAAATGCTCTGACATACTGAGTCCCTGAATACTTATACTTCTGCATATTTAGCTTCCTTTTTAGATTACAAACCTAACCAAATCACTAATGAAGATGTTGAACAGGAACGGACTCAGTATGGACCCCGGGGTACACCACTATTCACTGGCCTCCAACTAGACTTTGTGTCACTGATCACCATCCTCTGTGCCTCATTGTTCAGCCAGTTTTCAACCAACCTCATTGCTCATCCAGCCCTTACACCAACAGCTGATCTATGAAAAGATGTTGAGAATCATATATGACTCTCTTAACCTTGTCTGAAATTACTTTTGTGTGTACCTTTGTGAAATGAGATCTTTAGTCACAAGATTGCTTAAAACTCCCATTCACAATTCATCTATTCCCCATCCTCACTGATACGAAAGTTGAAGCACAGTGTATAAATTAAGCTTAGAATGTTAAATAGTTTCAAGTTTCTTTATGAGCTATCCTTAACTTCATTATTTATGACTCTTTTTGGTATAACATTCTTCAGCTGAAGGTTATTGAACTGTAACTTCCTATCACAGTACCTTTAATTAGACTAGCTTTTCCCAGTCCGTTAGAAAGCACAGTGAAGAAGGAAGTACACTCTGATCTCCTCCTGCTTTACACTGTGGTGCTACAAATGATTGAGCTCAGTGGAACTCAGGCCTATAAACACTTCTGTGAGCCAGGACAAAATGCTTGATGTTAATCAAAGTTCACCACATTTCTTCTGTGGTGAGAAAGTCTAACAAAAGAAAGATTTCTTCTTTGGATAGAAATGGTCAACATTCGTTTTCACCAAGAAAACAATGAAGAGTCTAGTATGATGACCATCTGGCTTTCAGTTGAATCTCTCCATGTCTTTTGGTTGCTCAGCTCTTACTGCATTGTTAAAGCTCTTGCTGTAATGTATCCCCAACTGGTTTAAGACTCCTGTGATGTTCTAGCTGCTTTCCTTAAGTTACTTGATGCCTGCCATTTGTTTAGAGAGTTGGGAAGCCCACTTGAAGGGGGGCATCATACGCCTGAAATGCCTTAAGGATACTCTATGCCTCTGACTATTTTTATGTCTTGGCGATCATTTTTGTGGTGGTCTTGAAAGAGCTCAGTGCCTGCAGGCTCTTGCTATGATTTTGTCTCAGCAGTATTTTGTCTGAAGAGGGGACTTTTTATCATTAAATCTAGATCTTGCATAGAAATCTCCCTTTCTGAAAATTTTGAAATGAAAAATTTATTATTGATATTGATTATTACACACCAAGTACAGCGCATCCTTGAAATAGTATTTACTGTTTATTTGTTCCTTAGCCAAGAGGGATGCACATACATTTTCAGCTTGTTAGGAGACTGCAAAACCAGACCAAAGGGCTATCTCTGGAAACAAATTTTAAACTAGGTACTAAGATACAACTCAGGATGATTAACATCACTTTAAATTCATTCTCTTCTCTCCACACCTGTTATTTGATGAGCTGCTTTGGCCTGATGAGACATGTACGGATGATACTCAAAGAGTTTGCAGCCTAGGTCTCTGATACTACAAGCAATTCTATGTGGGCATATGCCTTACTCCATGTCTAGCCTTATTGAGGCTGAAAAGATCTACATGGGTATTTACATCCATTTGTGCAGGACCAAAATCAGTCACTGCGTATGACTCTGGGCATGGCTAATTACAACTCCAATTAATTGCATTAATTCAGTGGCCAGGGAGGAGAAGTGGGGATGAATTCAGCTATGTGAAAAGTGATTATTCACCTGTCCTCTGAGCCGAAGAACCACGTTTGTCTCAAAGTAACCACTTCTGCTCTGTCCACAGACCTTCCCTGTGTAAAGGGCAGAACAAAACCTATTTGCAGGAGTTCTGTGCCTTTAGAATATAAGGGCACAGAAAAATATGATTTATTTTTAACTCCTCTGTATTCCAAGCATTTCACCTTTGTAACATGAACTGAAATCAGTAATTTACTTTTGATTGAAGTAGAGTATGTTTAGCTGAATGCTACCTTCCAGAAGGGCACTGAGCCTTGAACTGGAAACACCAAAAAACCCAAATTCCGCTAATTCTCTTCCTAGACTGCCCAGTAATTAATCACCATGATATTAAATATTGGCATATAGTTTCCCATGCAAATTTATCAGGATTCAGCTTTTAACCATGCATCCTCTTCCTAATTTAAAGGTCCTTTAGACCTTTCTCCTCCTCCCATAAAGAGCACTTATTTGCTTAATCTAGTCACCTTCCTTTCAACAATCTAAATAAACGGAAATGCTCAAGTTTCTTATTATATGGCACTTTCTCCAGGTCTCTAATATTTATAGGTTTTTTCACTCACTCCAGTTTTTCAAAGCAGTGTGAGAACTGACTGCAGTATTCTTGTGTCAGTCTCACCAATGCCGCATACAGGCACAAAATCATCTTCCAGCTTCTAATCGCTATTCCCCAGCTTAGATGTTCAAGGATCACATTAACCCTTCTGACCTTACGCTGCAATAGGAAATCACATTCAGTTGCTTGTACCCTAAATCATATTTAGATTCCTGTTTGGGGAATTACACGCTCTACTTTTGCAAGAGCAAGTCTGCATTCACCTTTATTGTACAATTCTGCATTTGACTATGAAAATGTGCTCCTTTTAATTGCCCCAGCTTACCAAGAAATCCAGGCTTCTCTCATATGCTTGCTCTACTCTCATTATTACCCTGTTCTACCTAACAAATATAAGCCTACTATTGTGACTTCCTATTTATGTTCAGATCATTAGTAAAAACATAAGGTACCTAAACTCTGGTAATTCTGAAGGCAATTGTTCAGCTCGTACTTAAACCCAGGAACATCTAAACACTAAATACATCTCAGTTTTGAACTGCAAAATATCCCTTGTACTTTAAAGTCCAGAATAATGGAGCACTGATGGTTAATTACAGTAAAAGATGTGTGTTTTGGAATAAATATTAAAAAAAAAATTATTGGGACAATGTCGTTTTACCTAGTACGCAACACTACTATCCTCAAATTTTAGATCATAAAAGCCTTTAAAACAAAGATCTTATAATAAACCAAATATCAAACAACATACCAAACGTTTTGCCTTTTCTTTCCTGGCCTCTACTGAATGACTCTTACTCCAGATCAACCAACTCAGTTGACATCTAACCTAAGAACACATCGCAAGCAAAGGGTGGGTTTAACTGCACCTGAGGTACTCAGTCAAACGCAGGGGGCTCTCTGGAGCTTATGGACTAATTTTCCATCAGCAGGTTTTTTACTTTCAATGCTACAAAACAGTAAATGCTTCCTGTCATTCTCTTTTCTGCTAGTGGCAGTGAGCGATGAGCCACTCAGGACCTGGTGACAGCACACAAGAGGATTCTTGCTTTCAGGAGAGCTTAGCCTTCAGCTGTGAGGCAGAACTTGATGGGGTGAAGTAGCTGAAGTTCACAATCACATTTAATGGTCATGGGGCTGGGAAATAAACCCAAACATTTAGTATCAAGCTTGGAACTGAGTAAAACTAAAGAAGCCATAAACTCTGAAAAGTCCTCATCCTCCAAACCCCTCAGATAGATTGCATTTCAGCACATATTTACTGAGAATGTGAATGTCATCTATCTATCTCCAGAGGAGCTCTCTTTGGCCTACATACAGCTAATCCTAGGGAACTGAACTGCTTGCACAAATAAGGGACTAAACCCTTAGGAAATTTGTTGAACTGAAGAATAAACAAAATATCCATAAGACTTTATTTTCAAGGGCATGAAGCATCCATAGCTTACACTCGAGAATACTAAGCACGTCTGAAATTGGGACATTTGCCTTGTTTCTGCTGTTAAATTGCTGCCTCAGCTTCCCTGCCCTTTACCTCACCTATAGCATCAAAATATTTTAGATGTGTTTTTTACAGTGGAGTACTGAGAGTTCATTCAAAGTGGTATGTTCAAGTAACTTTTAAGGAAAACTATTTGTTAGCTCTTAACATAACAAAGCATCAAGCAAAGCTGATTTTTATATCCACAGCAGCTAGTTTGTGATCTGGTTAGAGATGTCAGAAAACAAATCTGTTGGGTAAAGCTGTCTGCTGCTGTGACTGGCAAAGCTGTGTTGGCAAAGTGGAGTTTGGCCCGATCAATATTAAGTGGCAGAATGCTTTCTGTGCTCTACCCTGGCCAGGCCTCCACATCATAAATACTGAACGCAATACCTGCATGATTGCTGGAGTGATTGTGCCCACCACCTTCCCTGAGGAGATAATAATGCAAAACACACTTTACTCTGAGAAAAGCTGAACTCACCCGATCTTCTTCTTCTCTGACATCTGGCATGGTGCTGATGCAGAGGCTGACTGCAGTGATGGCAACAAAAGAGATTGAAATACAAGCAAAGATCTTTCCTGGGATCCCTGAGTGGGGGTTCTCCACCATATCCCTGAGCTTTCGCATGCACAAACTCAATCGGCTATTGTCCTGGAAGGCACATTGCGTAGTTTCACTAAACACCAGCTCCCCTTCATACAGTCTGGCCTCAGCTGCCTCCTCCTCTTTCTGTCGCAGTCTCTTTTTACAGCACCACTCCAGGTGGTCCTCTTCTATCCCCCAGTACACAAGCTCCTCCTGAAAAGAAAGAGCACACATCTCCCTGAGAAGCCTCAGCTTCCCAGCTGTCAGGAAAGTCATGATTGTCCTGAAGGCACTAGGATTACGGTCAAAAAAGAATTCATTGCAGCTAACATCATAATCATCACAGATGTTCATGATCTCATCATAATTGTTGCAAGATTTTAGCTTCCCAAGCCTGGTCAAGGGGCAGTTCTCCAAGGTGGTCCATGGAACTTTGTATTTAATACCACCTACGTTGATGATCACAAACCTTGTCTGGTCATCCAGGCGGGCTAAATAGCACAGGTCTTCCCCTGGGTGCAGAAGTTTGGCTTTTGTGTAGAAGAATCCTTTCTTGGTTTGGACTTCACACAGGTTTTCCAAGTTATTGAAGGAGTAGGAGCTGAACTCAGGCTCTGCATTCCTAGCAAGCAATGCCATTTCGTGATACTTCTGTTCAGTCCATAGGGAGATCGAGGCTACTTTAAGAAACACATGTGGAGCTTGACTGGAGAGTCAATCTGTAAAACAGAAGTTTAAAGTTACAATAAACTTAGGACATTGCTAGATGAAAAACTATCCTGTACTCTCAATCCCACTAAATTTTTCTCCATGGCACTGTTCCCCCTCCCCCCCCCCCATTATTTTAAGACTATCTTTGCTTGATAGTTGCTTGGGAAAAGAGCTTAAACTTAGGGTCAGAAGCAACTGGGTCAGAAGCCACACTGATACTTCTACAGGGTTTAGCCAGTGAATGAATGGAAACAAAACCATATTCAGAAATTTCTTTTCTAGAGCTATATCCAGGACATCAGTGGATACTGGAAGGGAAAACTGGTCTTTTGGATACATGGTAATTTACATTTTGGCAAGTTAATAAAGAAACTTATTTGCAATTTTTTTTTTAATTATTATTTTGACCCATCTACGTAATGTTTTTTGACCCATCTATGTAATGTTTCTATTAAATCTACATAGTATTTCTATCATGCTGCTTACAGTGTGTGGATAAAAAGGATACCTACAGTACAGTCAGAAATGTGACTGCAGTAATACTGGTAATTCCCAATTTAAATTCACCAAGCTTAGGTACTGCTAGCAATGAATATGTGGGAGCTAAGAATTCTGCCTGCAGCTAGCACCTAAGCAGGTTTGGGTGCTTGAGCATAAAGTGTGTGCTACCAAGATTCATTTGCCACTGGTACCTCAACTAATTGGATTAAAACTATGTTGGGCATATCTACCTGAGCAGCCCCACTTCTAAAAGGTAGAAAAGCTTTCATTCTCCTGCTGGGGTGACTGCCATTCAGGCTAATGACAGCTCCTGCAGGGAGGTGTGCATCTTGGGTTTGAGTGGAGACACAGATCTTGCCTGGGATCCTGGAGCTGCTGGAGGCTCTTCTGCAGTTTTGACTATGGGAAGTGGACAGGGTGCCCAGCAGCCTGTCAGTAGCTCTGAAATGGAAAACTGAACCTAAGAATGAAGCGGAGCTGGAAGTGATCCGCTTGTTGCTCTTACTTCTGGATAACGCAGAACTCAGTCACATTTAGCAGCAATTATACAAATTATGCATAATTTCAGTATTTAATTTGTGCATTCTGCTTACTCCTCCTTTACCACACCACAAACCATGAACACGTTTTTTCACCTGACACATTGCTTCCTCACCCTCTTGAGAGCTCTCCACCCAGGTTCCCCAAAACTGTCTCTCTAAAGCAGTACTAGGATGTCTTGAAATGTTACCATGTAATCGCTTTAGCAAATCACTCAAAACTTCCTGAATTACCCAAATATGAAGTAGGAAACAAGAAACTGGTGTAGGACTGTTGGGACTCCACACAAAAGACCTGGACTGAGAATCAATGCAGTATGGGGAACAATCTTATGCAGGGGATATAGAATCACAGAATAGTTAGGGTTAGAAAGGACCTTAAGATCATCTAGTTCCAAACCCCCTGCCATGGGCAGGGACACCTTGCACTAAACCATGTCACCCAAGACTCCATCCAACCTGGCCTTGAACACTGCCAGGGATATAGAAACCTTACAAGTTGACAAAGTCAGGAGAAAAAGATGAGTTGTGAAGGGTAGTCTGATGTTATTCATGACAGGACGGTAACCATGAGGTTACTCATAATTTATAAGCAACATTCTCCAATTCCCTTTGAATCTCATGACTCAGCCTGGAGAGAACACTGAACAAGCGCGTTCTAGGTAAAAACAGAGAGCACACACATTCAAATGCACTCCCAGAGCAGCATCTTCCCTTGTCCCTAATCAACTCATTAACTCTTAACTCATTAGACTTAGTAAAAAAAATCCCCAACAGAAAATAGTGAGTACCTGCTACTCCCAGACCAAAGTCACCCTCTAAATATTCTTACCAACCACACTCAAACAACTGAATCACAGCAACAGCAAGCGGTACTCCTGCTTCAACATTTCTGCGATGATCCAGCCACTGAATTTTAGAAAGGCATTCAAGGTGGATATTTGTAAAAAGTCAGAGAAAGGCTGGCTTACATACAAAAGGCCTAAAGTCACCTAAAGATACTTTTTGGCACTGTGAAAATTTCAGAACTAACGATGCCAAAATCTCTCCAATTTCACTTTGGGCAAAAAAATTGTTTAAACATCTGCTTATACAGGGCAACAGGAACAACAGAGAACAGCTCCTTCATCTGGCTAAGGGCCAATAAAGGGTAAAAGGCAGCAACATGCATTCTGAGAAATGGGTGGTTTTACAGCACAGGCTTGAGTGCAGCTGGGACTGCAAATACCATTACTGTCACAATGAGAGCGCATTGTCAGCATGGCATATGCTTTAAGGATTTAGCCTCTTGTTGCTTTTTGCTGGTAAGATAAAATATTCACCGTCACCACTCAGGGCACTGTGCTTTGTTTTCATGCCTCACTTGTTACACAAGTCAACATACAAGAAGTAGTTTACATTGTTTTGACATCAAGGCTAGGATTTGCTTTTTTCCTCTCCCTGGTGTAGCAGGCTGTCGCATAAAGGGCACAGATACATTTCATGGAACTACTTTGAATCTAGTCTTACATGCACTTCTTCCTTCTTCTAAGAAGCAGCTAACTCGAAGTGAAAATATGTAAGCATGTTATTACAAAATTTCTGAATTACAGAGGATTAGTCTTTTGAGGATATAAAATTTATGTTGATTAAACTTAAAGCTTAAGGAAGCATCTATTAATTTTTTTTTTGTGGATAAATCAGTGGATAAATAGAAATTGATAACAGAAGTAGGTATAGATAGTATTGCCTGTGGTTTAACAGGTTGATTGTGGACAGTACTGGTAGCACCAGATGCTGGAGTTCAGTTACTAAAGTGAATTTTCTAACCTCACACTTCAAGATCCCCAAATCCACAATAGTATACATTATTAATTGGCAGCACTTGTTTTGGAAATCTCAGCTTAAAAGTAAGCACGTGAAGACGGTGAGGTGGTTGCCCTGGACCAGGGCTCAGATGCTTGTGGAGGAGCATGGAAAAGCTTGTTTTGTCACTTTAACTGCCTTACAGAAAACCCGAATACGTTGCTGTGGGCTCCCAATTTGGCATCTAACCCAAGAAGTAAAATAAGCCTGGAAGGTCTGATTTCTGATCTTATGTGTATGGAATGTATCATGACCTTCCATGAACATTAAAGGGTGTTTCAAAATTATGTGGGTCTTAAAATACTCTCTGCATGCCAAGGTTATCTAATGTATGCAGATTCCTACAGTAAAGCATCCCATTGAAGATTAACTTTAAAAGCCAATACTTCCAGAAATGATACTACGCTATCATCCAGTTGGCATTTCTACCATTTAATCTGACACACGGGTGCAAGAAGAACTATTAAAACACAGGCTGTAATAAGCTGCCCATGATACAGAACAGAATTTAACTCTATATTCGTTGTTCATAATTTTAAAAAGCTGTGGGAGAAATGCTGTATAAATGTTTCAGTTTGATAATCACACACAGGGTGAGTCATACATCTTGTGGATTCTTTTTTAAGTAGAGTCAAATATTTTTTATTCACTAATAAGTACTTTCTTTGGCCATCTATGTATGCATATGTGTGTGTATACACACACACACAAGTTCAGCCAAATTCTGTCAATAGCTGATAACTGAGAGCTTTACAGGTATTTCTATCAAAGATTTTAAAGATTAAATAAATGTCAGAAGCATGCATCTCTTCATATTCTCCTTTTTTGTTGAAATATTTTCTCAGTGGAGAGGGGGCTATTTCTCTATTTACTGACTTTTCACCTTGCCTGCTTCTATCACTGTTCTTCACACAAATATTCTTCAGCATCCTTTTTTATCAGTATTGCTGTACCTAAGTCACATATGGGTTTGCATGTGGCTCCTCTGGTCTCAAGTTGCTTGAATAAGAAAGAAAAATGGGGCAAAAGAGGCTGGTCAACCCAGTGAGAAGAGCTTTAAATTGGGCAAAGTGCTTGTACCTTTTCTGGGAAATCATCATCATTAGGTGCCTCTGAAGTACCAGTATGTTAATGCATGCAGCCAGGGGAGCAGAAAGGAAGAATTCAGAGATCTGCATGCAGCTGCACTGAAGAAACTGATATTATGAGGGTGGTCAGTTTAGTACAGTTGTACTACAGTTGCAAGAGGAAGCCATGAGGCTTTTTAGTAATTAATGTTTTAAGATTTTCCTTGAGAAATTAAACAGACTTTGACAGAGAACAGGTTATTGTGTCATAATTTAAAGCCACAGACATGAAACATAGATTAGGGTGAGCACAAGATGTTTTGTCTCGAGTCCAATGAGAGTTGAGTCACCAAATCCATCCTGCAGTGCTCAGCCATTTCCAGTAAAAAAAGACATGCTGGAACCTGACATCGTTACCTAGGATGAAAGCAATCCAATCCAACTTCTTACTGTAACATGATTTATTATTCACAACACACACAATTATTTTAATAGTAAAGTTTACATGGAATTGACCATACATTTGATGCTATTACAGCTAACACTTTGGACAAAGTAGTTCACAGGAGATCCAAGTTACTCTTGTACTTACTGCACTTTGGTGGAACCTGGACTCCAGTTATGAGTCACTGCCAGGCACTGTGGAAACACGAAGAGAGAGCACCTGCCCACAAGGCTTATAAAATACAGAACAGATACAGATGGGGTGCAACTAACACACAAATTAAAAACCCAACCAACAACCAACCAAAAATCTCTTCGCCTGATTTGTGGGAATTAGCTTCTGAGATTGTCTACACTGAACATGAATATGGTTTCCTATGTACTCATGATCATAGAATCATTTAGGTTGGAAAAGACCTGTAAGAAAATCGAGTCCAACCACAAACACTGCCAAGTCAACCACAAAACCACTTCGACGCATCTATGTCTTTTAAGTACTTCCAGGGATGGTGACCTAAACAGTTCCCTGGGCAGCCTGTTCAGTGCTTGCTTCCTAATGCCCAATCTAAACATCCCTGAAGCAACTTGAGAATGTTTCTTTCATCATAGCTG